TTTTAGAGTTTGTTTTTTTATTTATAAAATTTAAATTTAAAATTTCATTAAAAAAAATAAAATCCTCTCATTTTAGCCAACGGGTTGTTGATCACATTTAAAGATAGTTGTTGTGTGAAATTGAAAACAGATGTTCTCATGAGAAATAATAGTAGTGTTTTCCTAGTTTATATTCTAAAAGTATATTTATTAAATCTTTTTATTATTAATGTATATGAAAATTTTGAAAACCAATGTTAATTTTATTAATTATTTAATTGAAATATTTACATGTTATGAATGCTAAAATTAATATCAGTTTTTTTCTAATATATATAACTTAATGAATACAATATGTATTTATTGTACTCTTATTAGACAAACTCAAAACAATATTTACTCTATTTAAAATAAGTATTATTTTTCATTTTTAATTTATTTTAAATTAATAGTTTTTTTTATTTTTAAGGTAAACAAGTATGTTTTTTCTATTTCAATTTATCATTATTTACGTCGGAATACTTTAATTAATTATCTTATCACAAAAAATCTCTTTTTATTTTTTACTTCTTTTTTATTTATTGTACTCTTATTAAACAAACCCATAATAATGCTCTCTTGTCCTAAAATAAACATAGTTTTTTTTTTAAGTATATAAATATTTTTTATTTTAAGCGTATTATTATTTATGTAATCATTAATTATCTTATCGCAAAAATTTTATCTTTATGTTTTATTTTTTTAAAGGATAATATATGTAAACATATAAATTGTCACTAAATCTTTAATTAGAGAAAAAGCTAAAAGGAGATAGTACTTATTTTAAAATAGATAAAATATTATTTTAACCATATTATTATTTATGTACTAATTAATTATTCTATCATAAAAAATCTCTCTTTATATTTTATTTCTTTTGTAAAAATAATATAGATAAATACATACAAATTGTTTATAAATCTTTTAATTAGAGAAAAAGTTAAAGGTAACAATTATTTAAAAAAAATAAAGTAGAAGGAATAATAATAATAATATTATAATAATAATCATACAACAATATTCTTCTTTAAGATCCTAAAATACATAACCCTATTTTAATTTTTGCATATAAAAAGCTCAAAATTAAGTGAGCGCGTTCTTTCTATTACTCTCTAATATGCCTATGTGGCACTTACTTCCTAGTTAATAATGGCGTATAAGTGAGCAACTAATAAACAGGATAAAACATAATTGTAAGTTTTTGGATTGCTTATTTGCTATCCAGCTTGTGCCTATGTAGAAAGTAGGTGCCACATAATTAAGCATAGGCCGTGTAGTACATTAACCTAACTTCCCGTGCGAAGCTCCATTAATATTGGACTTTTTTTGGCACATGTTGGGGATTTAAGGGGCTCAATTGCTTCAAAAGTAGTTTACGTGTCTATATGAAAAAATGACGTTGGTTTGAAGAGTTTAAGATAAGGTTTTGCCTCATACTATTGTGATAAATTTAGACCCTTTTTCAATTCTACTTTTAATTGTTGGGAGAAGTATAAGAAAAGATATTAATCCTTATAATGTGATTTAGTTATTCCACTTTATATATTTATGTTATTAAAAAAATTATTTATTACAATAATTAAAATTTATCTTTCTATTTTACCCTTATTTATAACTAAACTAAAAAACTCAACTTATTTTTATCTCTTTTGAGATATATAAAGGTAAATTGAAATACTAGCATTTAAAATCTTACTAATAAGATAGAAATTGAGAGAATAAATAGAAGACTCTTATTTTTAAAATAAGATAATTAACCTAACTTGGAGAGAGTATATTGATCAACAAATTATAAATTGTGAACTTTAATTACATAATTAATAAAAAAAATACAATTTAAAAAATGTAAAAATAATAGTCAATTTGAAAGAAAAACTTACTCTAGGTCGTGTTTAGTAACATTGTGGTTATCTATTTTTATTTTCATTACTAAAATTTAAACAATTAAAATTGACAATTAAAATTGACAATTAATAAGAGTTAAAATTAATGATTTATTCAGTACAAAATTTTAAATTGATACTAAAATTTAAATTTTAAATATAAAATTTTTTTATCTTAATTTAATATTATTTAAATTTTAACAATTAAAATAAAAAACAAACAATGACAATTTTATTGAACAAGTACCCCTTTTATTCATTTTTAATAAATTTAATTTAACTTTTTAATTTTTGAGATATAAATTTTAC